TAACCCCACATAAACCCACAACACCGGGACGGAACGTGTCGACGACTATACGACACATATCCAGTAGATTGACGGCAACAATAGAAATGAAATGAATTAGCAATTATTATTTATAACACTTATATTTAATAAGTGAAAATGTCACAATAATTATTATACTTACACAAAAAGATCTAGAACATATTATAACATTAAAAACTTGAGCTAGTACCGTATATTAAGTTGAATTGCATATCGTAAATATTAATAGTACAAGAATCAAGGTCGATTGAACTTAATTGCACTAAAACTAACTGGAATATTTTTGTTAGTTCAATATATAATTTTTCTAAACGATTCTTATAACTTACAATATGTATTGCAATGATAATTCTAATAGCTGATATTAGTATTATGATAACAGTTTAAGTAAGTGTTAGTGCAATAGAGTACGAATGACCCTGAAAGGTTAACATTTGTAGTAAGAATCCACGTCTATATAAACTCGGTATCAAAACATAATTCATTCAAAAACCTTAAATCACACTTTTTGAGTAGATTTATAAAAGTTAATAAAATTTATAACTTTTTAATATAACTCCCTGAAATGTCCGCATCATTCAATTTTAGCGGTAAAGTAGTGCTGATCACGGGCTCGAGTGCCGGTATTGGCGCCGCCACTGCCGTACAGTTCTCCAGAGCCGGGGCTCAGGTGGTGGTCACCGGTAGGCGCGCCGACAAAGTGTCAGAAGTGGCCAAAGAGTGTCTCAAAGTATCACCGAATGGGTCGAAAGCATTGGAAGTGGTGGCGGATGTGACTAAAGTGGATGACTTGCGACGACTTGTGGACACAACTATCAAACACTTCGGGAAACTCCATGTTTTGGTGAACAACGCCGGCGCCGGTTCTGCAATAGGCATCGATAATAAGGACTATTACTCGACGTATTTGAAAACAATGCAATTAAACACCAATTCTGTGGTCTATTTGACGCACATATGTGTCGAGCATTTGGAGAAAACGAAGGGAAATGTGATAAACATCTCGAGCGGAGCCGCTCTGCAATCCGTGAGTAGTTTTTGTAACTTATTATAAACAATAGCAGACTATTGTCCACGTATTTGTTAGTATATTACTAATAACTGTGCTGGTTCATTAACATTAACCATAGGGTGAAGGCGTTTCATCATATCATGTCTCTAAGGCTGCGATGGATATGTTCACCAAATGTATGGCCGCAGAGTTGGGACCCAAACATATCCGCGTTAATGTCATCAAGTAATTCAGTTTTAGCAAGATATTTATAATTTAGCTCACATAATTATAGAATGAATACTATTTTGCTTTCCCAAAACAGTCCTGGACCAATTCGCACGGAAATTTTAAACGCCGCTGGACTGCCCCAGGACAAAATTGACAAACATTACGACTACTTCTCCAATGTATTGCCGTTGGGACGTGTGGGTGACCCTGATGACATTGCCGACTCCATACTCTACTTGGCCAGTGACCATGCTGCTTTTGTAACGGGCACTAATCTGATATCAGATGGTGGGGCTATTGCTGCCAACGCTATCAACGGTAGAACCCTTAGGGAAATGCTTCAGTAAACCTTTATCTGTGGTGTGAAAACAAAACACTTTAAACTCTACTTTAATATTGATATTATAAAATTAAGAAAGTATTGAACTGTAACATTAAAACAGAATTTAAATGCATATACTATTTTATATCTACAGATATTGATACTATATAAATGTATCAAATAATTACATTTTAAATTATTTTTATTAGTTCAACTTTAGATTTGCAAATTATAGTTAATTATAGTTAAATTATAGTTTAAATTATAGTTAAATTTTAAACAATACCAGTAACACAAAATTATTTGATGATACTGTATTAAAATATTTGATGATTACCAATACGATTAAATTGTTTTATTAGTGTGAATTAAGAAGTTAATATACAATTATTTCTATATTAATATTTTAATTATTGCAGAATTTTATGTTTTTAATTTAAAAATTAAATTTAATAAAGTATTAGGTACAAATGTACAATTAAGATTAAGTTATACTTATGATAAAATAGATTTAATAAAAATTGATTAAAATTAAGCAGTAGTTGACCAAGCATGTTTAGTCAATTTGTAATGATCTTCGAGTTGAACCAAATCTGCGCTCAAATGCCACAACTGTTCCGCACTTTTATCATCCCTTGAATTTGTGGGCATATTATGAACGCGCAAACAATTACTGTTTAAAACATTAGAGAAAACACATTCATTTCATGAAACAAAACACAAATCAATATAAAATACAAACGCATAGAAAAATCCGGACTCATTGTCCAGTGATTCCTCGAGAGCACAGTAAAGGGTGGTCTGACAGCCCCTCTCCACAGATAAGCCAACAATCCTACCCATAATCCTCGCCATTGCTTGCGCTACTCGTGAGTTCATATTACGATACCATTCCGTTTGGATAGCACCGGGATGTAAAGCATAGGCGGTGACAGTGCTGTCCGGACCCAAACGTTTAGCCAATTCTCGTGTAAACAAAACGTTTGCTAATTTGCTTTGAGAGTAGGCGTCCGACTGGTTGTACACACCGTTCCTGAGGTTTATGTTCTCGAAATGGATTCTCCCGAATGCCTGCGCCATAGACGACACATTGACTACCCGTGCTTTCGGCGCTTTTCGTAGTAATGGCAGTAATTGTAGAGTTAAGAGATAGTGTCCTAAAGAATATTCATATGAATAAATTAAAGACTAATAGAAACTAACATGGTACATAAATTTTTATTTAGTTTTCAAATATTTAAGACATTAAATACCCAAATGGTTGGTCCCAAACGCCAACTCAAAACCATCGGCCGTTTTCAACTCCGGAGTGAAACCAATTCCGGCGTTATTTATAAGTAAATCAATTTTCGTCTCGTTTTCATAGATTTGTTGAACGAATGCGCGAATCGACTGAAGAGAAGACAAATCGAGTTTAATGTGAATTATGTTTGCGTTTGGATTCCTCGACACAATCTCTTTGATGGCATTCTCTGCCCTCAACTCATCCCTACAGCCAATGATTATCTAAATATTCATCAAAAGTAAGTTTTTAATAAATACCTGTATTTAAATCTAATAATTAATCAAACCTTTGCTCCTCGAAGTGATAACTGATATGCGGTTTCTTTGCCAATACCCTGATTAGCTCCTGTTATGATAACAACTGGTCATCCAATCGCTTATTACCCTTATATTTATTCCTTAATCGGAGAACATTCTGTGAGATCTCTATTATAGCTCCAAAATAATTCCCAATCTTTTCACTCATTTTAAGTCACTTCAACTGTAATGAATTAAATTTTACAATGGATTTTAATGTAGAATATTGCTAAATTTAAGATTTATTTTTTTAGCATATTTCTAACAACTTATTTTCTTTATATACCTTTCTAAATTTACTAAATGTACTTTATTCAAGTGCTTTTAACATAAATATAAGCACTAAAACATTTTAATAGCGGTAATCACTTTAAAATCAATATTAATGCACTTTTCTAAAGTACAAATTGAGTGCAAATATTATTTCTACTATACTATTTCATTAACATTTTTATGAATTAATTGAAATAATAGTAATACTGTTAATTATGTTTTCTATTTTAAAAGTTCTACCAGTATCTTATGTTGATCTGAGAAAGTTTTATTATATTTGTCACTTTTCATTAAATCCTTTAAAAATATTTTTTTAGTAATATGAATAAATTAAATATAAGTAAATTGATTATAAAATCTAAATTAGATTTTACTGTATGTAATTCGGAGAACATACAGTTACTGGTATATTACCTACGAAACTTTCTAGTGAGTTATAAGTTATATCATTTAATTTTAAGATATTTTAGTGTTTAATAAAAATTTCAGAATAATGTCATAATATTAATGCTGATATCATATACAGACAAATTATAAATACAACAAATATAAATAGTGAGCTTTATCAAATTAAAAACGAGTTTCTATTGATAGGGCAAAGTAACCTTCAATTCATGACATTTTATATTTACAATATTATTTGTTTGCGAGCAATATTTATGCGCTAATTTTATTAATATACTATTTAAAACTACATTTACAATATTAAAATAATTAATTATATATTTAATTTAAGTAAAATATAGTAAAATATAGTTTTTAATTAGAAACAAGCAAGCATCTGTGTTAATTTTAATTGTTTATCTATTTATTAAATTTCAAATCGCATTATTTTGCAGTAATTTTGTTGTCTGTATTTTATTTAGCGTGCTAAATAATTATTTGTAATGAATTATTTGAAGGCGTTATTAATATTTTTGCATGACCTGTATACTATTTGGTTTGGGTTGAGGCGCCGAGTCAACACCAATAAACGACTCGATGGACAGGTAGTTGTGATCACCGGCGGAAACACCGGCATTGGAAAGGAGACGGCGTATCAGCTGTCGCTAAGGGGCGCCAAAGTTTGTAATCATAACATGCGTTGAGTTTTGAAAACTTATTTTTATTCAAATATTTATAATATATTTAGGTTTACATCGGATGTCGTGATGAGACAAAAGGCAATACAGCTGTCAATGAGATAGTGATTAGGAATCCAAAGGCAGTCATAAGGCTATTAACTCTAGACTTGTGTTCACTTCAATCGGTCCGCAGATTCTGCAAAGAATTGTCAAAATTGGAGACAAAAGTAGATATTCTGGTCAATAATGCGGGCATTTTTGGCGCACCCGAGGGCAGGACTGACGACGGCTTTGAGCTACACCTCGGAGTCAATCACTTGAGTACGAAGTGATTATTGAATTCAAATGAAATCATATGTAAAACATAAACCCATTCCTAAT